GGTTTCTTTTGTTTTGTTGTATTTAGTTAGGAGTTAGTTTCTGGTTCTCTTCCTTCTTGTTTTCTCTTATTTCTGAGTTAATTAAGTAATTTGCTTTTGTATGCAATTCTACGAAGCGATTTTACGAAGAGCCCGCCTGCCAATCCTCCTAGTCCTGCTCCTGCTCCGCTTGTGTTGGTCCTAAGCTCGCATCTGCATCTCATTCAATAATCGTATGCGTCGTATCGCTGCTCCTTGAAGCGAGTGCAAGGCAACCACTTTATCGTGGTTGCCCCTCGCCCAGAATCAGCGAAGACTCCCTCCTGCTTCCGGGCCTTACGCACGCTCGTAGAAAAGTATATAGGCACTGGATGAAACGAGATGGTTTTCGCTCAAGGCATCGCTGACGCTGTAAAGAAGTTGAATGTTATTAAAATTCACAAATTGTATTGTATTATTAGTTAAAAAGTTAAATAGAAAGCACAAATCATATCTCCTCGTAACTAATACTCACATATTATCATTGAACTCGTGCCACTTGCGGGAGATGGATGCTTGCACAGGGCCACATAATGACCGCCAGCCGTCGAGCCTACAAGAAACTCAGTTAAGGACTTGATGATAAATGTAAATAAAAGCTGGAAACATACCCATATGATTGGATATCGCATAGAGCGAGTAATGCACATTCGAGTTGGAGTTGGCGCCATAGGAGCCCATGTTGAGCTCGCGATCCGATGTGGGGAACTCAACGATGTTCGACAGCTTGCTCCAGCGCGTCTCCGAGAAGCGTTTAAGGTCTGAATGAAAATTGTATATTATATTTACTATATACAAGCTGTTAGGGATAAATGGTGGCAAACTCACGAATAACGAGATATTTGGGGAAACGCTGTATGGTGAAGCTCTTGGTGCATTTCCGTCGTGTCTTGCATTTGGCGCATGTCGGCATCTCGTCCCCGTCAAGAACCTCCTCGCGTATGAAGAGGTCCAGGCAGGCCTCAAGCTTGCAGCGTGACGAGGAAGGGAGCGGTACGCTCAGATCCCAAAAGGGATCAAATGTAACGCTCGTATTGCCGCAGGTGTGCACTTCAGGGTGCTCTTTAGCTGCCCCACAAAGAGGTCGCGCACCAGAGAGTTCTCATGCCGCGTATACCATTCCCAGGTCAGGTCCGCCTTCTTATTGTCACTGTCAAGTGGGAATTTCGGATTAGATGGGAAATGCGAATAGAAATATGAGGAGACTGGAGACCCACCTGAGATTATCGTCAATGTTGAGCGTCTCACCCTTGACGCCCGTGTTGAGGGCCGAGTGCAGCGAGTCGAGGAAGAAGCGCAGGAACTCCTGGGCATCCTGCTGATTGTAGTCGCTGTACATGCGGTGCTTCGTGGAGAAGGCACGCTTCAGCTCCATGGGCGTCATTGTATGCACATTCGAGGTCCACATTTCCTGGATGAGTTTGGCAAATTCTATGGCGAAGAGCAACGAAAATTATGAACATATATATATTTTACGAAACCGTTTTTGGGTCAACCTTACCGTGGAGTATCTGCTGGTCCTTGGTGGAGGACGAGCGGGAGCCGTGCTGCGAGCGCAGGAAGCGCGTCAGCTCTTGGGTGTGGCTCAGGCACTGGATGACAGAGTTCATGAAGCATGTGTTCCCGATGTTTCTCAGCCCACAAACCTGTGGATTGACAAGCGGAAAGAGGGCATTGATATTAAAATTACTGACAAGGGGCAGTTTCTAACGTGGGTCACTCCCCAATCTGGAGGCATGCGCCTGTATGCGGTCACGCTCGCGATTAACCACAGGCATTCGGTTCAGCTTCAATTCCGTTTGATCCTCGGCCTGAATCTCAAGTTCCTACTCCCTGTTCTTATTATACTATGATTCCTTAACAATCACGTGGGTATGTGTGTCGTGTGGTTTATAAGTAACTTTCATGGGGAATTTCAACTGATTACTGGGAAAAGGTTGTGTGTGTGCCACATAGTCAGGTCAACCAACAACCTAACTGCCTAGGGGAAACCCCTATGCCTCCTTAAGGAACTATCAATCGTACGCACCTTCTGACTTCTCATCTCTAGACGAGGAGGCGTTCTTATAGCCATCATCCGAGTTGTGCTTCAGCGACGACGAGGTAAGGGTGGAAGTGGAGCCGCTGCTACGGCTAGTGCCGCTCTCACGATCCCGATCCCAGTAACGACTCGACGTCGGTGTCATGGGCGGCAAGACGCTCCGGGCACTGCTGCCAGTAGTGCCGCTCCTCGCCTGCGTCTGTGGGGAGGGTTAGAGTATCACAAGTTATATATTAGTTAAAAAATGTAGTCCTTTTATAAAGGGGAGCCACGGAACTCAATTGGCCTTCAAGCGACAAGGTTTTAGTGATGGGAATTCTCTTTTAGGGTAGTTTTAATTAGGTTTCTTCTAGTAAATATGTTTGGTTCATCTTTTACGAGATTTAACAACAGATTTTAGTCATTAGGTAAGTTAATTAACTGAGCTGGGTACAAATGTGTGAAGTCCAGACTAATCTTACTTGGAAAACTTTGAAAAACCAAAGTTGTCTTTAAATTCTTTTAAATTTCAAGTACAGTTTCGTTTTATCCCTACTTTCCCATCACTAAGTAACCTCCTCAAGCAGGCCTATCGAATTCGCGGCGATTATTAATCGATCGTTAAATAGGGTTAATTTAATAAAACCGAAGCAACTAGCAATCGAGCAGTTAGAGATTAAGGAAGAAACCCATAAGTCCAAGATTAGTGTGTGTTGTGTGTGTGTTAATGTGGCGTAGCATGCAAAGGATAAAACCAGGCTTAAAATAGTGATAGTTAAATTATATCGAACGATAGGCAGCGATAGTGTCAGTGTGAATCAATGAATTCAAAATGAGAACGCAAAGCGTGATAGAGAAAGATAATGGAAATGCAAATATATACTTTTTGTAGCTACAATAATTGTGTTCAGATCAGAAATGCTTGCTCTTGCCACAAGTCGAATATATATAAATATATATATAGAGAATATATAAGAAGTTGAAGAAAACGGAATGGAGAGAGAGTATAAAGTAAACTAAACTGAACTGATATTATCGGTGACCTGGCGAAGGACCGACTTACACTATCGCTGGCGGAGCTAGAGGCTGTAGCTGTACTGTACTTGTGGCTGTGGAGACGGAAGACGTGGCTGGTGTGGTGGCATTATTGGGTTGCTGATACTGCTGTTGTTGTTGTTGGTGTTGTTCCTAGCCCAGCTGCATCGCTGTTTACCTGTGTGGCAGTCACGGCACTCACTGCCTGGCGGCTGGCTTGCACTCCTGCTCCTGTTTCCATACCCATTCCCGTTGTCGCACTAACACTATTCATGGTGGCCGTGGTCCGGTAGGCGGCTCTGGTCAGGGAACTACTATAGCCCGCTGCTGCCGCCACTCGTATGTTGTCCAGGTCGCTGCTGTAGCGCTGCTGTAGGTTGCCGCTGCTCCCGCCAGCGGCCTGCTGTTGCTGCTGCTGGTGCTGGTGCTGGTGCTGGTGCGATGTATGATTGCTTCGTCCTCCAGAGGCAGCGACCGCAGCTGTCCCACCTGTCCCACTCCCGGTGGCCAACATAGCTGTGGTCGTGGTTGTGGGTCTCTTCTGGATACTAAGATTGTTAAATTTCTCAATGGAAGCCTTAATGCTCAGCGAATCGATTCCATAACGACGAGCATTGCCACCGGCAGCTGACCGGCTCTCTGTGGCCAGTAACCTCGCCGGCGCCTCCTCCTCCACCATTGGTCTGACGATGATAGCCACTGCTGAACTTCTCAAAGTTGGCCGCAAAGTTCGAGTGAGCGGAGGCTATAATGGTGGACTTGGGTCGGGCATAGCGATGGCTGCTGTTTGCTCCACCACTGCCAGATTGCTTTTGCTCCTGCTGCTGTTGATTGCGATGTCGCAGCTGCAGCGGTGGAGTTATTGGCTTGAAGTAGCATATGTTGGCCTTGGTGGCCGCTGCTCCCGCCCTCCAGCTCCTCCTGCCCCTCCATTGGCTGTCGGCTCGTCGCTGTCTATATAGGTAATGTCATCGTGTTGCTGCTGGCGTTGCATCATGTTGTTATTCCGCTGTTGCTGCTGCTGTTGGCGGCGGTGGTGGTGCTGCTTCCGTTGTTATTATTATTGGTATGATGATGTCCATTCATCATCGCTGCTCCTGCTGCTGCGGCGGCCGTGTTGTTGTTCGCGTTAATCGGCTTCAGCTTGCCATAGACCTTTGACGAGGTACCGGAACGGGGTACTATACTTGTGGAGCACCCCGTTCGTGTTGGTTTGGTGGCCAGCGGTGATCCTGTTGCTGTTGCTGTGCTATTGATGGTGGTGCTCAGGTTATGGCTCTGACTATGTTATGGATCTGGCTCTGGCTCGTGCTGGTGCTGATCTGCTGATTGCCATTGAACATGGGCCCCCGTCGCATATTGCCGCTGTTGTTGCTATTCGAATTATTATTGTTATTTGGTATCTTCACCGGCCCGTATGCGATTGCCTTTTGCTTTGCTGGCCGTGGTTGTGGTCGTGGTCGTCACCTGGGCGTGGGCCAACTCGCATTCGGCCTTGAGAAATGTTGGATCCTTGTAGCTGGATACCAGAAAGTAACGCTGATTAGCAGCCCGCACCGGATTACTGCTGGAAGTGGTAGTGGTGGTGGTGTGGTGGTGGTGGTGTTGCTAGCGCCGCCTTGCCCTCCGGCCAGTGTCGAACGGACCTGTGTGGCTGGAGTTACTCCTCCGTTGCCGTACTTAATAGACGCCAGGGCGGCGTGCGTCCTGCTCGAAACCACCGAGGGCACGTTGGCTCCTCCTGCTGCTTGCCTACCGTGGGCCTGGGTCTGGCTCTGGTTCTGGTTGTGGTTCTTTGAACGTTGGTTCTGGCTGGTTCCCCTGCCCGATGTTGTTGCTCCGGCTGCACCTTTAGTACCTGCTGCTGCTGCTGCTGCTGCTGTTGCCGTTGCTGCTGCTGTTGTGGCCTCTGCTGCTGAGATGGTACTACTACTGCTCCCGTTGATGGCTGCAATTTGGATGGCTGTGGAATCTTTTGGAATCCTCTGGTCTTCTTAATGTCTAACATCATTCGACGGGCGTTCGCTCGTTGCTCGATACTCGTTCCTTGCACCTGCCGTTGTTACTCTTTTCTTTCTGTTGCTTTTTGGAAGGGTGGACGAGATGTTGTGTTGTGTTAGTTGTTTAATTATTGCTCGACGCCTGTCACGTTCAAACGTCAGTCGTCAAACGATGACAATGTTGCCCCAAGCTACTTGATGTTTCAGCTTTTGTTGATTCTGCTTTTGCTCCTAAAACTGCTGCTTCTGCTTCTGCTTCAGCTGCTCTCCTGTTCCTGCTCCTGACTAAGAAAAGCCTCTTCCTATTTACCACACACTAAAGCAATTATGGTTTTTCTGGATGATTTCTGTATGATTTTGTTTTCTTTTTTGTTTTGGGAATGTTTTAGGAGGATTAGAGTTAGTCTGGCCTTATTATTAGTTTTGTTCGAGTGGCGTTTAGTTGGACTTTGGACTTGGCTTTGGTTTAGGCTTGACGCGTTTTGCTTTGAATTTGTTTTGAGTTTAGCGGTTTCTTGTTAACTTTTTCGTTTGGTTAAAGTTAGAACAGGGCGCAATCACTGCAAGAGTTTAGCTAAAAATACATAAAAATGTTGAAAGTTGATTAAATGATCGGCTTTTTCGGGGGTCTCTTTTAGCTGTGTTAGGATGACAATGCGTTTGGATAGAACAGAATAGGGGTTAGGGGTTTGGGATTCTCTTTTTTTTGGGGAGAGGGTCAGGGTCTGGGTCTGGGTCTGGGTCTCTGGGGGTGGGTCTGGCTTGGCACACACACATACACACACAGAATATATAACTGAAACTCAGGAGGTCAGTGGTCCTTGTCTTGGCATGCAATTAGTTTTGGTTTTGGTTTTGGTTTCGCTTCGCTTGGCTCGTTCCTTGCTGTTACCTTGCTGTCGGCGGATGAGGATGATAGCTTAAATGTGGCCGTGGTGCTCACATCTCCATTGTCCACCTCCGCCTGGGCATCGCTGCCATTGTCATTGCCATTGCCATTGCCGCTGCTGGGAGCAGAGATTCCAGCATCATCGGTTGTATCCTGGTTCCTTAGCTCCATTCGCGATAGGCCATCCTTCTTCAACGGAGGCGGCGGCGGCGGCGGGGCGAGGAGCTACTGTGCTGTTGCCTTGGCTGTGACATCCTCCGCCTGACTGCGACGCGTCCGACTGCTGCGTAGTGTAAAGGTGGCTGTGGGCACATCCCCACTGCTGTTGCTATTGTTTATCGAATACCTGCTGCCGCTACTGCTCCGGGAGGTCGTCCCTGTGCCCGTGCCCGTTCCAAGTCTTCCAGAGCTGGTCGTGACCTCACCGCCCGCATCACTGCTGTTGCTGTAGAGGCGACTATACCGGCTGCTACGCGCCGATCCAGTGTCACCGTCTCGGTGGGTGTAGCACTGCCGCCGCCACTTCCATTCTCCAGCTCCTGCTCAGCATGCCCCGACCTGGAACGTGACAGTTCACAGTTGGGTTTATAGTTGGCCGGACTGTACTTTTCGTACATATCCAGTCCGGAGGTGGCCACCAGGCGGGCCAGCGATGGGGATGAAGATGAACTGGACAACGGCTGCCAGATGATGATGATGAAGATAGCTTGCCGCCGCCATGGCCATTGGTCTCCGTGTGATTACTGGAGGAGTTACTTCCTCCAGCGCCGCCGCCGCTTATCGGCGGCTTCTTGGCGGTGGAGGAGACGGAGTCCGCTATACTTCGCCGGCTGACATAGTCATCCCTCTTGGCCGCCGATCCGCTCAAGCTATCGCCATTCGAGGTGATCTTTGATGATGTTTTGCGCGGTAACTTTTTTTCGATCGTTTGGGAATTTCGATTTTGGTTTTTGGTTTTCGGTGTTTGTATTATATATTTGTTTATATATATATTTGTTTTTTATTTTGCGAAACATTTACAGGTGACAAATGAGCGGAAACATTTGTGGTGAAGAAGAGGTAACGGTAACGGTAACGATAAACGGCAACGGGTTTCAACATGTTTCGTGTTCACGTTTCAAATGTTTCAAAAAATATCGATAATTAACAAAAACAAAATATGTAAAGAAAAGAAACATCAATGATGAGAGAGTTTAATGACTGGAAATTTGTACACAAATAATGAACAGTAAATGATATATATATATATATAAATAAGATGAATAATGGCAAATGAGGGGTCCACATGAATTGCAAAATAATCGAAAAGGCGATGACCCTCACACCTAATAAGCTTTGTTTTCTTGCATTTGTTTTATTAATTAAAACTGTAAAAAACTAAAGATTTCTGTCCCTTTTTGATCATGAATTATTTAAGTCTGCACGGGATAAATTCAAAATCACTTCCATGATGTCATTATAAAATGATGCTGCTTAATCTTATGATAATTTACACGTTAATCGCAATGGCAATATAAAAATTAATTTCAAAAACGACCTCGTTTTCAATGCGCCTAGTCTGCGGTAAATGGTGCGTCTGAAAATAGTAATTAGCGCGAAATGTGTCGCCTACAGAACTTTCCGTACATACTATTGTCTGTGTCAACCAAACAAAAGTGAGAAAAATAAAAGGAAAAATCGGACCCGACCCACCTACATAAGTAGATGTTGTTAATGCCAGATGTTAACCGAAAGTTATGACGAAAAAGATAAATAACAAAAAAAGAAAAGAGTGAAATGTCAAGGGGACGCACCTACTGATTGTTTCGATTGTTTTTTTATTTCTTTCCACCCTCGAAAATAAATAAATAAACTCCACATGTGGTGTTCTCTTGGGCACACACACAAAATACACACACGCACACACACACCGGCCAAAGTCAGACAGGGACAGAGCTATGGCATTAACCTTATTGCGAATTTCTCGCGGGGAAGGCGGCGGAAAAGGGTAAGAGAATGACACAATTGTTGCTGTTGTTGGAGGTGTGTTGGCCTTTTGTTGCTTATAACGTGAATTCCCGTTGCCTCAGTCGCTTCTAGTTGTAGTTGCTGCTTTGTTGTTGGATCTGTGCCAACAAGTGGTTCGCGGTTCGGTTCAGTTCAGCTCAATAGTCATACACACACACAGTCCACACACACACACACGCATTCCATTCCTGGGCCTCTGACTCTGACTGTGACTGTGCCTGGGCAATGACGCATCCGACTATGTTTGTGTACAAACGAAATGGTTCGTCACAGGAATCGCTATCAGTAGGGAAACCCCTCTTTATCCCTCTTTGCAATCTGTGTGGGTCCTGTATTTTTTATTGCGTGTTTTGGTAGAAACTCTGTAAAAAAACTAGTGTTTTTAGCATGGTTCAGTAAGGAAACGTTAATTATTCTATTCAGCGCTTCGAAAATTATATTCAGCTCGTAATACAACCTATTCAGCGCTTCAAATATTATATTCAGCTCGACAACAATTCAGCGCTTCAAGCTCGTAATTTATCCTATTTAGCGCTTCAAATATTATATTCAGCACGTAAAATTCTCAAACTATGAAACAAAGCTCTTCCAGGGAAGTCTTTCCATAACATCTTAGTAAAAAGTAACCCTTTCAAAGTTGTTATTACTGAGAGATCACTGTGCATCGGTATCCGTTATCGGAGGCACAAAATGCCGCATTGTCCGTCCGTCCGTTCGTCGTGTGTTTGTCTTTGTGGGCATTCTATTTGCTATTTGCCTAATGCGTGAATATTTGCATTTGTTTGAGTCGAACTGTGTGTGTGGGTTGAGTGTGTGTTGGGTGTGCGTGAGTGAGTGGGTGTTGTTTTTGCTGGTACGTTGTTGCAATGGCAAAATACAACACAAACAATACACAAAACGAAATAATCAGCAAAAGAATAAATAAAGAAAAAAATACGGGAACTAAACTAAACTAATCACTAAATAGGGGGAGGCTGGGAAGGATCACCACAAATCGGGGGCGTGGTTGAATATGAAAACCATGAGCCATGAGTGTATCGGTAATCTGTTCTTGGGCTTTTTACTTGGAAACGAAGGGCAGGTCACCTACAAGCGCGGTTTGCCAACCTTTCTGTTTTGTTGTATTGCATATATAAAAGCAGACACGACTACAGATCATATTTGAGATATAGGATGCTATATGAAAGGCTATGACAAGGAATTAATCGCTGAATCTATTTGAATATACAAAACATATGGGTTTTACCCATGTCTTTAAAAGCAGAAGTCTTGAATTTATACTATTAAACTATTATTCTATATTATTATAGTATCTGTTCATCTTAAAGCATTTTGATATACAATTTACTATTAGCAAACTCTAAATCTTCAGGTTATAAATTACATATTATTAACTCCACATTAACTCTATCTATCAAAAATATGCTGGCTATGCTATTGTTTAGACTATATTTCTAACGCTAATTAAGGCTTCCCAACTAGATGCCATCACAATTATTATTAATCCCTTTTCGATGACTTGATGATTTTCACAGAACGCATGAAATGATCAGATTTTACGGGAGGGAGAGGACAATTTGTGGGAGGGTGAGTAGAGTTATACCAAGAACCCAGCATACAGGATATAATACTTAATCATAATGGAGGGAGAGACAGAGAGATAGAGACATGACTCAGAACCGTGAGAGATCAGCCACCAATCGAACATACGAACATACATAACTAAAAGAGTAAAATCTCGAATAATTCAGGATGTTTCGGTTTCGGTTCGCCTTGGATTCCCCATAGGAACTCCAAGGACTTTTCAAATCAAATCAAAGTAAAGCTTAATGGGTTCGCTATAGTTAGGAGACAGGGAATTAAGATAGGATCAAAAACTCACTCCGTATCGGCTGTACGTAGGTGAATCATAACTGGAGCCGCTCAGATACGACGAAGAGCTGGTTGTGCGGTAGGCGGACGCTGTGGATCCGGAACCACCGCTCAGATACGACGACGACGATGTTGATCCTACGCTGCTCCTTTGCAGGCTGCTGCGCGGCACATACGATGATCCTGAGGTTGAATGGCTTGCAGAGGAGGAGTACGCCGAATATGAGCTGGGGTAATAGCTGCTACCGTAGCCGGACGTGGACGTGGATGAGGAGGAGCCACCGGACGTGGGCAGCCACTTGGAGAGGCTGCTGCCGCGATCGTAGCTGCCCGAGTACCGCGAATATCCGTTCGTGGTGGCCCCGACGCTGGACCGATCCACCGCGCTACCGCTAGCTGAGCCGGTGGCTGAGCCGCTGCCGCCGGACGACGACGACGATGTGCCGTAGAGACTGCCGGTGCCCGCCGCTGACGTTGACGATCTACGCGGCGCGATTACACGCATATTAGTGGCAGCAGCAGCAGCAGCAGTGACCTAGTCCCGGATTTAATCAGGATGAATGTCCAGCCGAGCGTTGTTTGATGATTTTTTTTATTAATTAATGCACGTCCTTCCGTTTGTCCTTTCTTAAATTCCTTTCCGTTGCCTCCTCAATGTTTGTCTGATGCTTTCTAGGTAAAGATTTTCGAATACTTTGAAATGCTTGACTGGAAATTGATTTCAGCTTACCTTGTCTCCTCCTGTATCTTCTTATTTACATTTATCCAAGCATTATCTTCTAGTTTTAGTTTAAATTTAAACTTAATTGCTTCTTATGTGCTACATCTAAGACCCGTTGTTGTTCCTGCTGAAGTAGTAGGCAAATATCTAAAAGAAAAAAAGCATATGCCAGGTATAAAATATCATACGTAGTTAGATAGTTTAAAATGGATCGGAACAGTCATTTTCTGATATTGTAAAAACTGTTAAATATTGTATTATATTAAAATTTTGTAACTTTGTGTTTTTATTTTTCAGCTTTTGTTTTTTTATGTATTTCTGATCAATTCTTTTTTTCCAGTGAAAAAATTCAACATTTTCCCGTTGCTTAAATGCCATTGGCCTCGCGCATACCGTTATTCAGCGTGTTTACTATTATGTTTTTCGGGTTTGAAGAGTATTCAAGGCTGTCGAGTTGAAGGTTTTTTTCTCTCTCCATAGAATTCGAAGGGATGCCAAGGATAACTGTTTTTCAAGGGGAACTCGGTCTGCCACTTCCATGACCCCCGCCTCCGCCTATGCTCGATTGATTTTTCACAAACACACACACTCACACATAGTAATCAATTAATTAAGCGATGAAACAACAAGAGGAATTTCAGCTACGTTATTTGCCTTTTTTTTGCTGCTGCATCTCTGGCCGTTTCGGCCTTCGGGCTGTCCAACGGTTTTTCCCAATTGGAATAATAAACAGTTAGGCGGAGAATAGAAACCGATCAGCTGCGTCACTTGTTTACAATTGCAAAATAACAATACAAAAAAGAAGAAAAAACTGCATGCTCGTCATAACAACAATTACGTAGGGCGAGAGGGGCAGAGTGGGAGGTGATGGGTGGCTGGCTGGCTGGCCTTATGCGGTAACACTAAAAATGAAGTTACGGCTGAGCGTTCGTGTGTGTGTGTGTGTGCCGCCAGGCAGTCTACGTTCCCGTACGAGGAAACCGTTGCTTTTCCAGCACATGTATGGGTGTTCCTTGGTTGGCAAAGGAAGGGGGGCTGTCGAACAGCGCTTAACTATTATAAAACGGCCACACTATCAATCGATCTTTCGTTCATAAAATACTACAACTACAACCCATTCACACGCACGCACACACCCACACAAAAGCACGCACCAGCACACACCAGCGTAACCATGGGCAGCACACCACACGCACTTGCAATTGCCTTTTCGAACAACAATAAATGAAATTCTTCAAGTTCACACACAGACACCAGTGCACCTGAACTTTTCCACGGTTACCACGTTTTAATCGCTTTCTTTGGATAAAAAAAAGTATAGATATATGTGTCTTTTCACTGCCAAAGCGGAACGTCAAAAATCGAAATAATTATGATAAAAGCAACAAAAAATAAAACGAAACGAAATGAATTCTATTTATAAAGGCGCACACACACACATACACACGCGCGAAAATATTGTGTGTTGGTTTGACAGTGAAATGGGAATGAGAGGGAACGCTGTGGCGGCAGGGAGTAAGGGATGGCAGTAGTAAAATCTGCGATGAGCATATGCGTGCAGGCGAGATAGCAATATTGGCGACACAGTCACAGTCACACACACTCACACCACGGCCACACGGCCACGAGCTCTCTCTCACACACACACTCTGCCAGACGGCAGGCAACGTACGAATTACGCAAAGTGAAATATCTTTCTCAAAATGGAAAGTGGAAAAGTGATTTAAAAAAAAAGTTTATACCAAAATAGGAGCGAGAGAGAGCGCGGCTATGGGTGCACAGGGAGAGGAGAGCGGGCAATTGGGGAAAATTTGACCGCAAAACGAACATCACGACGCGAACGAGGTCGCGCGGCCCGCAAAAAAAATAGAGTTTCTTCTTGATCTAACGAAATATTGCAACGCGAGCCTACCGTCTCACTTGTTTTACATCGAAAAACTATAATTTTCGGCTGATTTTAAGCAATTTTCAACACAGCACAGAACTCACTTTGCAATCTGATTTTTTTTTATTTTGGCCGGTGTGACCGCGCTGCACTAATGTCAGAACGACAAAACAAAATACCAAGTGCTATTTTCAGCTGCCTATCGATACTAATCGATAGATATTTGGTATATTCTGTCACTCGCTCCCAGTATATACATAGTTGGTGGTATATTTCGACGGTCATATTACGGTCACACTGTATACATTTTCAGTGAAAATTCTTGAGGAAGAAATTCTATTGAAAATTCGTAAACAATAACTTTGTTCCGTATCGCCGATCAAAGTCTTGCCGCACAGCCACGCGAATCGCGTATATCACAAAAGCAGGTGTTATCAATTGTCGCGCGGACTAGCAGAAGCAGCAGTTGCAAATTTCGTTCTTGGCCGCCGCAACTGCAATTGTCGCGTCGCATTACGTTTCCAGTGTTGCCACCAACTTTTCCGGGTTGAGGCGCCGCCGGGAACATTTTGGTAGCCAAGCCGGACGCGTTGCGGCCGGGGGATAATGTCCATGCCGCTGGGTCTGTGATTTGTTATATATCGAGCTCCATCTACCCAACTGGAGGATACACATTACCGTCTTGCGTATATTATTTGGTCGGAAAACGGCCGAGCTGGCAACACTGCGAGGGGAACAAAATGAAGTGACAGAGAGCGAAAAAAAGCTAAAGAAAAACCTAAGAAAAGCTGCAGAATAGTGAGGGGGGAAAAGTGCAAATGCAAGGCGCTAGCGAAGATCTCTGTTACCACCCGTTCCATGAGGCGCAGCAGATAGGCTTGTGGTTGAGTTTTCCGCTGTTCTGAGTGGTCGTCATTATCAATCATTATCATCGTCATTATAATCATCATCGGTCATCGTCATTAGCCAGCCGTCAGCCAGCCAGCCAGCCTTGAGGTGACTCTGCCGCATTAGCTTCCTCTCGATCTCGATCTCTTGGAATTCCATCGCACACCCACACAGTTCAGGTGGGTTTTCCGTGGCTCCAGCTTCTCCAGATCTTTAACCACTTGAACCCATCCTCTGCAGTCATGTCATCGACCGCCGGCAAGCGCAAGGAGATCTACAAATCTCGCACCATGGCCGCTGTACTCCATGAACTGGAGCGTCCGGCCGGACAAACGTTTCCGGCTCGCCCTGGGCAGCTTCATTGAGGAGTACAACAACAAGGTGCAGATCATCAGCCTGGACGAGGACACCAGCGAATTTAGTGCCAAGAGGTAAGGAGTTATATGCTGAAACATCATCTAATTACCATCTTTAATGTATCTTTACCTCCTGTCGCTTAGCACCTTTGACCATCCATATCCAACGACCAAGATCATGTGGATACCCGACTCCAAGGGCGTCTATCCTGACCTGCTGGCCACCAGTGGCGATTATTTGCGCGTGTGGCGTGCCGGCGAACCGGACACACGGCTGGAGTGTGTGCTAAATAACAACAAGAACAGCGACTTTTGCGCACCGCTCACCTCGTTCGATTGGAATGAGGTGGACCCGAATCTGGTGGGCACCTCCTCGATCGATACCACCTGCACCATATGGGGCTTGGAGACAGGACAGCCGCATGCCCGGGTCTATGTGGCGGGACATGTGAAGACACAGCTGATAGCCCATGACAAGGAGGTGTACGACATAGCCTTCTCGCGGGCAGGCGGTGGCCGGGATATGTTTGCCTCGGTGGGGGCCGATGGATCCGTGCGCATGTTTGATTTGCGGCATTTGGAGCACTCGACCATTATATAGAGGTAGGAATGATCTCAATCAACACCAGGTTAGATTCTATTCTATATTTTGGTATATTCCATTCAGGATCCAGCACACACGGCGCTCCTGCGGTTGGCCTGGAATAAACAGGATCCGAACTATTTAGCCACTGTTGCCATGGACTCGTGCGAAGTTATTATTTTAGATGTTCGTGTTCCTTGTACACCCGTTGCAAGACTGAGCAATCACAGAGCGTGCGTCAACGGTATTGCGTGGGCGCCGCATAGGTGAGTGTATAAAGCTCTGGTATCTTCTAGTTCTCTTTCAAAAACACCTCTTGTTCCCTACCCCATCCCATCGTCCAGTTCCTGTCACATATGCACTGCCGGTGATGATCACCAAGCACTGATCTGGGATATACAACAAATGCCACGCGCAATCGAGGATCCAATTTTAGCCTATACAGCTGCCGAGGGCGAAGTCAATCAGATCCAATGGGGCGCCACACAGCCCGACTGGATAGCCATTTGCTACAACAAAGCGTGCGAGATCCTCAGGGTTTAAGAGTCAATTTTTATTTATTTATATATGTATTTTAATTTCTCCCCCTCTGTGTCGGCTGAGTAACGCACACAGAACCCACACACCGCGAACACATAGACACCTCTTTGCTGTTGTTTATCCTCCTTTTTTTCCTTAGAAGAAGTTGAGCTTGAGTTTCATTTTCGTTGTGTCTTGTGGAGAGTAGGGAGGAGGAGCATGAGGCAGGTTAGGGAGATGGCAAAGGCGACGGAGCATGTTTTAGAGACATCTTAGCTTAGTACACACACACACACACAAGTATATATATATATAAGTCTAAAGGTATAACCAAACTATGTATTTCTAATTATGCATGTAGTTTATTTCACACACTGACAACGGCAACAAAGGAAAAACAAAAGAAAAGCTAATGAACCCCGCAGAATCGATTTGAGGCGCTCCTTTAATTTATTTTAAACAAAAAGATTTCAGAAACAATGATCCTACCTCGTTTTTTGTAACCAATTTTTTGTGTCTGGCACAGAGACAGGGAGAAGGAGAGAGGGGCAAGGCAAGGCTTTTTCGAAATATTTTTCACTTTTTTTTCTATTGAGAACCAAAAAGAAAACGAACAGAAAACTGAAAACTGAAAACCAACCAACAAACAAACGGAAGATATGAAGGCAGTAGAAACAGAAGCAAAACCATGGACTTAAGCGAATGCAAAAAAAAAAACAAGAAATGAATTAAATAAATAAGAATAAAGAAACAAAAAAAATACTTACAAAAATATAAAACCGAATAAAAAGCACACACAAGACAAAAAAAAACAAAACCACAGCTAACAACACAATACTATTTAAAACAAAAAATAACAAAAACTACAAACAAAAGCAAAATACCGAAATATATGAGCGAGAGAGAATACAAGATTGTTGCTATATCCATTTAACGAACGAAATAAAAACAAACAAAATACAAGGCAAAACCGTAACTATGATCATTTCGAGAATAGGACTCTCCCCCATTAAATAATCTCCAACAACAACCAACAAATAAACTCATTTTTTTATGTATCTTATGTACTTTATAGCAATTTCACCTCATATATATACTATATATATATAGAAGGATATATATACAGAAACGCGATAGCAATACACCAGATAATCCCAAAATGATCATGTATTGTAAATAACAACATGAAAACTTTGTAAAACAAAACAAAAAAATATATATATAAACAATCAGGAGTGGAGTTGCAAAAGCATCGATTTTTTTTCGATATTTTAACATGTAAACATCAATGTATCGGCCAATAAAAAAAAAATTGGTGCTTTTGCAGCTCTAATCAGAACAGAGCCGTAAAGAACTTTTGAACAAGACTTAGCCCCTTGATTTTTGTAATGCCATATTTAAGAGATCGAATCCGAAACCGAACCCCCTTTCAACTTGAAATACTCCCCAGCAAAAAAAGCAGAATAAAATAAAATTAAATCGAATTGAGATTAGGGATGTCAGAAAAACAAAAACGTTATATCGTTACTGCATCGATATATAAAGCGAAAATTGATATATAAATCGATAAAAAAAATATTTAGCAATGCAATAAATAGATTTCCTTTTGATATATTGAACCAATATAATCGAAAAAGTGAAATAAATGAAGACACACTTTTCGAAAATGTTGGTTTTGATAATCTCGATATTTTAACATTAAATGCGTTAATTTTCAATATTTAAAAATTCGATTTAATAATGAAAATGCTATCTTTGCCCTTATATCAGATCGGGCCTTCCCTCTCGATATATATACACATCCCTGATCGAAAACGATAACGAATTGAAAACGATTAAAATCATTTTTGATATTTGTACATCGATTTTCATTGATTTTTTGCAATAATAATGGTTTCTTATCGGAAATTAGAAGTAAACAAAAGAAAAAACAAATATTAGCAAATAATTCGATAAAGAGGCTCCCCGAACATGTTCTCCTCTCAGTTTTGTTCTCTTTTTGCATTATCTCTGTATTTACGTTGGCCATTTGTAAACACACATAAACACACCCAACACAACACACCCCAGCGCATAAATATAAGACACCCAGGCCGGGCGGCGATTACTAGGATTACAATGTAAGGTAACGCCGATCTTGGTGGAGTTCACCTAAACCCAAACAAAGCAAAAAAAAAAAACCCACTAAACGAAACGAAACAAATCGACGATGATGGAGAGGATGAAGGCGTGGAGTAAAAACAACCAAAACAGACGACAAAAAAATATTAAATAAACCATTTTTAAATAAAAACCAATCTTATTAAATCAAATCCGGCAAATCGGCGGGCGGACAAATGTTACTAATATCCACCACACCGCGTAGCTTCTCCCCTTTGGCATCCTTTTCAGCATCCTTTCCAGGAGGAGCAGGCTTGATCCTGGCCGAAGTGGCCTTGGGGGTTAGCAGCTCATTGACTTTCAGCTTACGCAGTATCACCATCAAATGGCCCGTGGTTTGGGAACGCTGGACCGTGGACTCGTCCGGCTTGACCTCTTCGTTGTAGGCTATCTGGAAAATCTTGCCCTTGACGGTCACCCGAGTGTAGTTGGTTTGAAACGTCTACGTCGATGAGGGAGGTGTCCAGGTGTCTTGAGAAGGAGGAAAGAATTGCACAGGTTGGGTTAAATGAATAAATAAAGTATGTATCTGCATTATACATTGGAAAACAAACGATATTAATTATTTCAACTTTAAATATCCAAAAATATAGGTTATATCACCCACCTGTAAACCTCCAGCTGGAGCTGGTAGTGATCGGCCTCGTCCTGGAACTTAAAGGGCAGCTTGGCCTGGTTCATGTTATAGGGTCTGCCGTCGGGGCAAAGAAGTGACGCTCTCGACGCGGTGGATCCAGCGTCGACTTGGGCTCATGGCGCTCCCTGCCCAGCCTGTGCTGGCGGGCAATCTCGGTGCGAATCTCCGGGCAATGCTCGCTCTGGCCTGCCAAAAGGCCTTAATGCGCTCCTCCTCGTCCTCGATGCCGGCACACTGTTCGGCCAGGGCGGCCTGCTGCTCGGCTACCCGGATGCGCTGCTCATCCGTTCGATGGACTGATCCGCCTGCCTTTGGACAATAATGGCCCGATTCTTGGCCAACTCTCGAATGCCTGCAGGCGTTCCGATGCGTAATCTCGACACAGTCCAGGCTGGTTAGCTGCGGCAGAGTGGCCACCACATAGTCCCGGTAATGGGGATAATCCACACAGGGATTTCCCTATCAGCAGCAGCTCGCGGAGATTGTGATTGGCCGCGCAGCGACTCCACGCTAGTCAGTTCGCCGATAAAGTTCAGGTGAGGTCTAGTTTGTTGAGGACTCGCAGCCCTCGAGATTCTCCACCCGTTCGATATTGTTGATGGCCACATTGAGGTACTCCAGGCACTTCAGCTTGTGCAGATCTCGAGGCGAGCTATCAGGTTGGACTGGAGCAGCAGAATCTTGAGGTCACGACAACCAGTTCTGGATGTGCTCGATGACCTCGATGTCCTCCTGGTGCAGGGATATTCCTCCAGGGTGCTGATGAGGCGCTCATTGTGCTCCGATTTCTTGGCGCACCAACTCCTCGGTAACTATGCAGAATATATTTGTATAACTTTGTAAAATCCTAATTAAAATTAAGTTACAAAGTATTCTTACTTCGCACCATGATGACGCCGACCAGTGAGTGTGTTTTCCAAACTTCAAATGGAAAACAAAGGAAAGACAGGAAAGTAAAGTCAAAGCCGCCTCCGTTGCTAGGCATTTTCCCATTCCCACTTTTTGTTATTTTCGTGTCTATTATTTTTATAGAAACTTTGAGTAGCAACAATTTATTATAGCGAAAAAATTAAAATAGTAATTTTAAAATTGCTCATTTAATTTCACGATTTATAATAATAATTTTGTTTGCATTATTATGAAAATTAGTTAAAATTTGCATTGGCTCTGTAAAATCGTAACATGAATTTTGAATTAATTCCCTATTAAACTTAAAATAGTTAAAGTAATTTAAATAATACATTAAATTCGATTAAAATTATCGATGTGTGCTGCGCAGTGCGCACTCAATTGCACATCGATTGTGACGTCATCGATAAATCCACAAACAGTCACGAAATTCACTCTAAAAATGCTTTATATTTGACTTTCTGTACCAGGCGAACATAAAACTCAGCAAGCAGCTGAGCGCCTGAATTAAAAGTCCCAAAGTAACGGTTCTTAAAAGATGAGAACCTAAAGAACCTCTCTGATTGGTCTAATCAGATGTAAACAAAGGGCGGCCATTAATATTTAGGTTCTAAAGTACGGATCTTTATAGAGAGTAATGCGAAGAGCTTCTCTGATTGGTCTAATAGATGTAAACAAAGGGCGGCCATAATTGATTTGTTCTAAAGTAACGGATCTTCAAATCGAGAGGTTTGCAAAGGGCTTCTCTGATTGGTCTAATCAGATGTAAACAAAGGGCGGCCATTACTGTTCTGGAAAAGATCCGTTATGAACAGCGCTTGTTCTTGTGCTGCAGGGTTGCTGCCAGTGGTTTCTGTTTGCCTGGTATATCAGAAGCGTTAGATTGTTAATTAGTCTTTTTAAAGCCCACATTTCAAAGTTTTGCAAGGGGAAACAGACACCATGAAAATTGTAATTAAATTGATTTAATATGAAATCTTTTAAATATTTTTCCAGTCCATTCAAAAAGCTTACATCAAAATCAACAATAATAAAACGTATGTAGATAACGATTCAGTGATATATTCGATACAGTAAATGCAATCTATTCCAGACCACACTCAACTAATTTGGACGACAATGGAAGTCACTTAAGGCCGCTTGCGAGATAAGAGAACGGAGGTGCCTTCCGGGTGTGCCGCTGCACCACCTACCTCCATTGGCCGGTATTTCGCCCCTGACCGACTGAGAGAGAGAGAGAGGGAGAGAAATCTAATCAGTTGAATTAGAATTAAGTAGCTGAACAACGCGAGCGAATTAATTGCGACGTGTTTTGAATCAGTCACCGGACGGCGGCCAGACGGAGCACACACATTCACACCCAGTAATCTCTCGATCGCGATGGGAATCGATGGCGATATGGATAGTTTCGCTGGCGATATCTTGCGGCCACTCAGCGATAGCGAAGTGGACCAGCTGCTCGATCTCTACAAGGCCAAGTTTGGCGTGAGGAATTTCCATTATTTGCTGATGTACAACCAGCGGAAATGGGACCGCCAGCTAGACGAGGCCCAGATTTTGCGCTCCGATCCCGCGTATATATCCCTGCGCAAACAGTTCTTCACCATCGCAGCGGGGACTTCCGAAAGTGGGGCACCTATGTTTAGCCTTCATCGGGACATTGTCCAAAGTGTTTCGTTCTTCAGCTGGCAGTCGGATGGAGCGGCCGAGATGTGGCAGTGCCTGGAGGAAACCAAACGCATCGAGTGGACGCAGGGCGCCCTCTTGACAATGTGGATCTGGACTTTTGTGAACGGGTTAAGGAGCTGGCTGGCCAGCGTGGTGTCACCGAAATGCAGCCGCGTCAGTGCTACGGCATGGTTCTGCCACATCAGGCGGCTCTCGACACCGAAGTGCCGGAGCTGCTCTCTGAGTTCGATATGCGACGGCTGACGGACGAGGATGCGGCCATGGTACACGGCACCTGGCCAACAAGGGCGAGGGCTCATTGGCCTATTCTCGGGCACTGATCCGGTTCAACAGGACGATGGGCATTTGCCGAGCGACACGGGCGAGCTGATAGCCTGGATCTTCCAGAACGACTTCTCCGGGCCTGGGGTGAGTTTTTAGCTCTAGGAAAGGTTTGCTAACTAATCCGAATCCTTTCCGATTCTAGCATGCTGCAAGTTCTGCCCAAGGCGGAGCGACGTGGCTTGGGCGGTCTTCTAGCCGCTGCCATGACACGCAGAATAGCCAGGGGCGAGCCGGATCTCACACTGACCGCCTGGATAGTGCCACCAACTGGCGCTCGGAGGCGTTGCTCAAGAGGATTGGGTACCAGAAGGAGCTGGTCAACGAGTGGATCAAGTTGTTGTAGAGAGTCTTGGCGTGGGATAAAGGTTGGTTAGTTTTTGGGGGGCTTGGGTTTAGTTCAGTTCGGTTTAGTCAGGTCAGGAACTAAATGTACATATGTATGTGCGTTAAATCGATATTCTATTGGAAGATAAATAAATAAAATCACATAATTTTTGATAAAATCTATGTTTTAACTTAAAATGCGATCTTTTTTGATATATATAATACCAAAAAATAATAGTTTACTATATTTAAAACATGATATCGAATAAAATCAATATCTTAGAGTTAAATGCGAAATTTTTAGCTAGATAAAAGTTCTTTATATCAAAAATTTACCATTTTTTTTTCGATACAACTTTTACTCCCCGATTTATGTACAAACATATGTACATCCCTAGTGACAAAACATACAAAGATTTGCATTTGCTATCTGTGCCTATGTACATGGTCAACAATTTTATTCTGAATACACTTTTCGGCTTATTCGAAATTCAAAAACAAATTCGAAACTAGCGGGGTAGGGGCAAGGGATAGGGAAAGAGGGGGATATGGAAATCGGGCGGACACAAAAATACTTATTTACAAACACAGTTGCGCCTCTATCTCTATTATCAAAAATACAATTTGCATTTTGGGCCAACTGAAGAGGCACAACAAGCGCACATAAATTCGACTTGCCAGTTGTTTTAATTTCTTGTAAATCGTTTTGTTTTCATCGATAGTCTCTTTCTATTTTTTTCGTTTGTTTTACTTAGCACCTTTTTCGAAATTCACTTAAAAACGTAGTCGTATTTCTCCATTTTCAATTTCAATTACAAAGTTGAGGAAAAGAAAATGCAAATCAAGCTAATTTTATGTTCAACTTAAAGGTAAACATTAGGGTTTAACTCTCATTCTTCGTCAAGTTGGATTTTACTTAATATTATTTTTTACTGCCTTTAAAGTTGTGCCTCTTTAGTCAGCTGTGTATAATACATAGAGCTTGTAGAAAACAAGTTGCTGTTCCCCAGCTGAGCGCCTCTTCTAACGCTCTTTCATCAATCTTTCAGCTTCCAAAAGAGCGATTAAGATAAGCGCTTGCTCTCTGGGAGATGGTCTGATAAGGAACAACGTTTAGTTACAAGCTAAACAAATACATATGTACACTTTACATACATTTCGAAGAGAGAAGGGGAGATGGATAGAGAGAAAGGAGACACAGAGTGAGAGAGAGAGACGGCGAGGAGGAGAAAGGGAGCGATGGAGAGAGTCCGGGGTGTACGTCATTCACTAAACTACAAACTACACAAACAGTAGCCGCGTGGCAGCCGTACCGCTTGGCATTCCGCTGCCATTCGCCAGCAGGCTATTGCTCGGCGTCATTGTCGTCGCCCGGTGCAGACCATTGGATAGCTTTCCGTTGACAGAGCCCCGGTAATAGGGATCCGTTTGCTGCTCCAGCGGCTGGTACTTAATGTGCGAGCTCTGGGACAGCGGCAACGTGGGTGCCTCTCGTCCCTTGGTTATTTGCTTGGCCCGATTGTAGCACAGAACGCCGACAATGGCCAGTGTCATGCCCAGGCAGTTGATCCACGTTACGGGGTTGCCCAGAATTAGCAGCGAAACGGCTATGACGAATATTCGCTTCGAGGCGCTGGCCACCGCGTACGTGAGCGGTGTGACCAGCGAGAGGACACTGAAGGCGATGTTCTGCAGCCAATTGAGCACGCCGTCCGCAAAGAGCAGGGCAATCACTCTATAGTCCAGGTTTTTCTGAAAGGACACAAGACAAATTAATTAATAATATTAATGGGGTATTTGCAAAAATCTACACCATTTTTTTGTACTAACGATTGCATTGTGGCGGAAGACAGCAAAGCTGTCCATATACAGCCAAAGGGGCAGGAAGATGAACAGCGATAGCTTGCCAAGCAGATGCAGCAATCGCAGGTGATGGATGTTGGTATCCTTGAGGACCTAAGGATATAAAGATAAGATGAAGAATTAAAGTCTTGCCTTAATGAAAGTAGAAAACTGGACTCGTACCTTCTTGGAGAAAATGTTCTGCATGGAGAAGCCCATCGTGGAGATGAGGGCACTGATCAGACCCATCATATCGAAGGAGATCTCCGTGACGGTGGCAATGCCCACGCCCGTTATGATGGGCAGCAGGCTCAGGTACACGAGCGTTGGCTGTTTCTCGCCAAAGAAGAGGCGCGTAAGGACGACGGTGAATAGTGGCATTTGTGGCTTTAACTGAAAGAAGGAACGAAAATGTATGGTTTAATAGAATAACTTTAAGGTATCAAAACCTTTTAAATGAGAGAGCTACGTTTCATACAAAAATGTGTTTAAATAAAATACAAACAGTATACATTATAAAATTATATATTAAATTATGTATTTAACCATTTTAATAATTTCTTTAAAACAAATCTGACTCAATTACTGATATTTTTCATGCCTATAGCAATAACCCTTTAAATTCAACGTATTACTTATTAATTCATTCAAAAAAGGTTGAATTATTTATTTACCACTTTGATATACTTTTTCACATGATCAGAATGATTAAAACTCCCCATTAACAACATTTACATGTAAGCAAAGCCACTTTGAGCAGCGAAGAGATATCTAATTTCAAGTATCTACACAGATAGCCAGCATATGATAGCCATAGCCCCTACTGCTGACGTGTTGGTGAAGCACACTTTGGCGGGCAACTCCACCTGCTAGTAACTCACCTGTGTGCGCATAGGAAACGGGGACCTTCCACAGCGAAATGTGCGATGTGACCGAGGCGAGCAGCTTGCCCACAGCCAGGGGCACAATCAGCCGGTAGAAGTAAGGACGCGGTATCTCCTGGTACTTCCGGATGCGCCACAGATTGAAGAAGGGGCCGCTATACAGCGTTATGCTGCACAGCTGCACCAGCGTTACGGTCATCGGGAAGGGGAACTCGTTCAGCACCATCTTGCCGATCACATTGTTGCTGGAGGAGATCACATACCAGAACAAGCACATCAGCAGCACTACGGCTACGTGCCGCGATCCCGTCCGCTTGCCGCCCAGCATTCTGTTCTGTTTTGTCCGTGGGAATCACGGCCCTTGCCTTGCTCTCGTGGCGGCACTCAAGTCCCCCGTTGCGGATTCGGCCGCAAATCGAAGCGGTGGCAAGTGCGGGCCTGGTAGCTAGCGAGCTGGTGGCCTGGTCTGCGGGTCTGCTAGGCTTTCCGGCACACGGCGACTATTGCATTGCGCTTGATTTTGGTTTTAAATAAAAAACGTCGTCTGTTTGTTTTCGACGTGTACCTGCCAGTGTGACCAAATGTGAAGCTCTTAGCCCACGGGAAAAATATGTTTGCTGGTATTTTTTCTGAATATACTACTAAGTATATATCGATTAGATCCACGTTCAGCAGAACTATCGACAAGAAATCATCGATGATCAGTGATTACAAATGCAGTGACTTAGAACAAGGCTTTGAATTCTAATTAAAAACCAATAGCTACAGTTGCTGAAAGAAATTAAGCATATTTTGGGAAGCCGGGATTTTTATACCCTTGTAGCTTGCAATTGATAAATTTATATTTTTAAATTTATTAATTTTAATTCGGAAAACTATCCTATGTTAGTTTATTTAAGTGTAATAAATCTGAATACTCTATTAAAATTGTAAAAGAATTGAAATGACTCCTTCACTGCTTTATCAGCTTCTGATTAAAATTAGAATACCATTTTTAACCGATATTTATCCACTTTTGTATGTGACAATTTTTTAGACAAATCTAAATTTAAAAATATCATAACTCTGCCAAAAATGCATTAAATTTAATTCGGAAAGCTGTCCCATGTTTTTTGTTAGGTTAACAAATCTGCATACTCCATTTAAAAGTAAAAAAATTAAAATTTTTTATAAATTTTCTGACAATTTTAACGATGTAAACCTTATAAAATTTCGAAAAAATGTAGTAAATTATTTTTCTACCAGACATGGCTAAATCGATTCGGATTTTGATGCTGATCAAGAATATATATAATATATAGGGTCGGAAATGACTCCTTCACTGTTTTACCATCCTCTGATTAAAATTAGAATACCATATTTTAACCCATATTTATCTATTTTTTATGCGACAATTTTTAGACAAATCTAAATTTAAAAATATCATAACTGTGCCAAAAATGCATTAAATTTAATTCGGAAAGCTGTCCTATGTTTGTTTTTGTTAGTTAACAAATCTGCATACTCCATTTAAAAAGTAAAAAAATTAAATTTTTTTATAATTTTAACAATTTTAATCATAACCCCTTATAAATATTTGGAAAAATCGAAAAAATGTTTTCCTCCAAAAGATGGCTAGAAAAATTCAGCTGAAAGTGCTGATCAAGAATATATATGATTTATAGGGTCGGAAATGACTCCTTCACTGCGTTTTATGCTCTGACTAAAATTGAAATACCATTTTTTAGTCGATATTTATCAATATTTTTATATGAAAATTTGTCCTAAAATCGAATACTTAAAAACTCATATCTAGGTCAAAAAGGCATTAATTTAAATTCGGACAGCGGTCCTGTGCTAGTTTTTGCTAGTTTAATACAGCTGCATACTCAATTTACAATATTAAAAAATGCAATTTTTTGCCAATTTTTAACAATTTTAACTATGTAACCCCTTATAAAAATTTGGAAAAATCGAAAAAAAATATTTTCTCCAGAACGGCTAGAAAGATTCAGCTGAAAGTGCTGATCAAGAATATATATGATTATAGGGTCGGAAATGACTCCTTCACTGCGTTTTATGCTTCTGACTAAAATTGAAATACCATTTTTTAGTCGATATTTATCAATATTTTTATATGAAAATTTGTCCTAAAAATCGAATACTTAAAAACTCATATCTAGGTCAAAAAGGCATTAATTTAAATTCGGACAGCGGTCCTGTGCTAGTTTTTGCTAGTTTAATACAGCTGCATACTCAATTTACAATATTAAAAAATGCAATTTTTTGCCAATTTTTAACAATTTTAACTATGTAACCCCTTAAAAATTTGGAAATCGAAAAAAAAAATTTTCTCCAGATCTCAGCAGCTGATCAAGAATATATATGATTTATAGGTCGGAAATGACTCCTTCACTGCGTTTTTTTGCTTCTGAAAAGCAATACCATTTGTTAGTCGATATTTACCAATTTACCATTATATAAAAATTTTCCAAATCAAAGTTTTAAAAAATGCATAACTAAATCGTTTAATGTTAACGGGATTTGCTTTCTGTGTTTTTTTTTTTTACAATCTGCATACTCAGACATTTTCGTCACAAAATTTCGAAATTCGAAAAAATTTTCTCCCAAACATGATTAGACCGATTCGGCTGTTGATGCTGATCCGGAGTTATAAGCTCCTGACTCAAATTATAATACCATATTTTAGTAGATATTTATCTATATTTTAATATGCTAATTTTTCTACAAACACAAACTTAGTATTAAGCTTAATGATCAGAGAAATCAATTTAAATAGTAAAAAATGTGTTATATAATTTAGTTAAAGATAAACCTAGAAAGGTTACTTTTAATTTCGATTAAGATATAGATTTTTATTGTCAGCACTGTGTCTCAAATATCACCTGGCATAATTAGACACGATTTGTGGCAATTACCACCTGGTATTCCTAGCCGTTGCATGCTATTCTGGGTCGTGTGTTTTTGAAAAAGAAAAATCGAGTTGGCCGAGGCCAAGTCGTAAGCAAAACACTCGTAGCTCGGAAGCAAATTAAGCTGCAAATAATAAATAATTTGTGCTCATAAATGCAATAAAAAGGCGGTCAAAGCTGCAGTCGCAGCAGCAGCAGCGGCGATTTATTTCACGAGATAATCCAAACTAATTTGGTAGCATTTAGCCAAAGAGTTACAGCGGCGTTTTGGCCTTTGGTATCACACACCGGCCAAATCACCGAATCGCATAGAATCGCCTCGGACCGCCGCAGCTGAGTAATGGCATTGAAAAATGCATAAATTTCGAGCTGACCACGCCCACATTTTGCAAATCAGTCAAAATGCGGAGGGCATTAAATATGCAGACATATGGCGGAAAAATGTAAAAATCTAAGAATCTAACGGCCCAAATGCAAATGCAATGGCCATTAAATAAGCATCGCTCATGCGACGCGTTGCACATGCATAAATATGTTGCCAAGCCGCGCATTTGATGGCCAAGGATGTTACATAATCTGATGGATAGATTATCGATTTCCCCCTGTCCATCTCCCCAGTATATATCACTCATACGCCGCCCGGTACGGTTCGGTTCGGTTTGAATCGATTCGCATAGCAGAGCCGGTTGTAAAATAGAAATTACAAATGCAGAACAAATTTATTGCCCAGAGAGCGAAAGATAGCTGGGGACACAGAAATCTGCCGTGAGTGATCCCCGATCGCACATTTGCCAGCGGCGATCGTAGAGATCAACGATCCATCGTAGCCCGGTCTGACCCCAGGGCCACTTTTATTTCCACTTGAAGGAAAATTTGTACCACAAAAAGTAGGAAAATATATGAGAATTTAAGTGTGAAATATTATAGATATTAATGCTGAAAGAATCTTACGCTAAATATCAATATATATTACTAAGAGAGTTTCATTGAGTCTTCTTTCCAAGAAAACCTAGTTTTCCTTCTGTATTTGTATAGTATTTGTTCTCAGTGCTTTTCTTGGGTTTTTGAGAATTCTCTGTCGGCTGTTTGTTCGCCGTTGTCATCGATCGCTTGAGTGCCGTGTGTCGTTTGAATGAGTTATGGCAATGTCTTTGCATTCGATGCGCTTGGCCATGACTCTTTGCATTTGGTAAGTGCTCTCTGGGGGATTTCTCAGTTTCTGTTTCTGTTTCTGTTTCAGTCTCGGGCTTTTTGCAGCTCTTTTTCGGTTCACATATTGCGTATACGCACTGGTGGCCCCTGCAAACTGAAATCGTTTTCTCACACTCATCTCCGGCTTGTGTCTTTCGGCAGCCAGAAAGGTGAATTCCCTGTGGCAGGCAGGAAATTGAATGTCCAAACGACACAGGTACAAAGTAAATAGAGAGAGAGAGATGGAACGAATGTATGTATAAGCCGCATAAATCTATCTCCAAAATTTATGACACACTCGAGCCACGTTAATAAGCAAATCAGGCACAGACTCCAACTCCGACTCCGATGAGAACCTGGGAATGTAAGTGAACTCCTCCTTGGACCGGCAACAGGATTTTAGAAATGGTAATAAAACTTTTTATGGACACTTTTATGCCTCGCCGATGAATTATGAAATATTTTTTGGGCAACGAATGCGGTTTACCAGCATAGAAAATCGCATTAATCATACAAAGAAAATCGTCTAAAGGATGGCCAGGACCTAGAGATGAATAAGCAGCCGCTGAAGGGGAAGGGGAAACGGAACTCCAACCTGTAGCCATGGCCATAAAATTGAGTTATTAAACAGGTGCCGAGAGAGGAGGCCCGATCCCGAGAGATTGGGAGATATATATCAATATGTGGAGCATGGCTGGAGGAACCCCGTGGCCCGTGGCCAGTGACCAAACAGCAATCAGTGCAAATGCCTCTGAGAAATGGAGGTCAAATACGGGCAGAGCGTGTGTTGGTTTTCCCCCCTCACCAGCTCAGGCTGGAAAAGCGCTGGAAAATCAACATGCAAGGCACAAATGTTTTTCGACCATGTTAAACAAAAGAGTGGAAAATTATTGTTACATTCGAAGAGGCGGCAGGGGGAGCGCGAAAATTCAACAGCAAAACAATTACAGTTGCCACAGTTCAGCGTTGGCCCAATTACGAGGGGTTCTGAGGGGTGCTGGGGGGTGTCGAGTGGTGGGAGGTGCTGGGCAAGAGGTAGAGTGTGTGCAGCTCCTGGATGCCCGGCTAGTAGGATATGTTGAATATTTTCCGACAAGCGTCGGAGCAAACGCGATAACATTTTTACATACAGCGCAAATTTCATTCCACTTTGGGGGCAAGGAAGGAAGGAAGGACGGAAGGAAGGAAAAGCGAAGCACCATTTTCTGGTAGCTGCACTACCAAGACTCAAGACGATAAACTGGGAAAAATTAGTTTTACTCACTGAAAAAGCTTACTTTTAAATAGTGTTTAGTATAAGACAAGGTGATATTTTACCTTGTTAATAA